AACCCACGCGCTGATGCGTATTGCACTGCATATCATCTATGGAAGCAAGAAGGAGATTTTTTTTCACTTAAAGATGTACACAATAATGAACTTCTTTTAGTATAAAAGGAGGATATCTTCCCCGAATGTTGTGCATGTTGTGTGTTTGGACTTCAAGTGCAAGTGGGCTATGTGTGGTGTGTGCATTGACAGAGTCTCATTGTTCCAGGTGAAAAGGCATGTGTTACTTTCTTAAAGTTATGTGACATGTCAATTATTGCCCTATGTTGTCAACTATACTTGCACACTTTGTAACGCCATCTAATAGATCTGCCCAAACAATTTCCCCCACGAATATGCATTGAATTCTTCTAAATCATCTACCAAATTAATATACTCTGATGCAACCTTGGTGCAAGGTTGGTTACGTAATACATAGCTTCCTAAAATGTGAAACAACCCAAGCCACCCCGCATATAATGGATTCCGATCTTCCCGAAAGTCTTTAGCCTAGTGCTCTAAAATACACTCTTAATCTCACTGCACACAATAGTACTTTGACCATGGAAATACCTACTCCATATATCTCCATTTATGTTGTTTTGCAGAGGTTTTTATTCCAAATGAAACCCCAATAATTAGTACCAAATCTCCCCTTGGCATACAAACTACATTCTTCCCTATTATGAATTCAATTTTGCTTTTTGTATTACTTGGGTTCACTCACTCCACATAATTAACCATGAAGCGTATTATCAACTATCCATTCACCCATTTTATATTTCCTATGTTTAGAAAATATCCAAACACACTCTTCTTAAACTCCTACAGATTTGTATCACTTAAATTTTCTTTAAGGCTCTTTAATGCCTCATGTGGATTGCAGTAGCAATTGATTTCAACTTCTCTTTTCTTAAAGCCGCACATTGCATCAACATCACAATATCTATCGTACTCGTGCAAATACAAAAATGTCATATTTATGCAAATTCAAAACATGTGACTATCTTTGCCCTCCAGGACAGTACTACCCTGTACTCCATATAATAATTCCTAAACATAACAATTGAATTAAGATAACCCCAAAACCCAATGCCTTAGCCATTCTGATGTATTCCACATCCTAATGTGTCCCACTGCCCTTGGCCTTATTTTCTCGGTAACAAATTACTGCCCTTATATTGTCTTATATGATCAACACACCACAACAATTTCTTCACGTCGCCATACCCAATTCACTTTCCTCCAGGACAGTAGTATCTGTACTCCATATCTTAATGCCTTAACATATCAACTGAACTACGATAACCCCAAAATCCACTCCATAGCTATTATGATTTTGTCCATATCTTAATGCTTCCCAATGCCCTTGCCCTTTTATTGTATGTTCCAAATTAATGCCCATATATATAGTGTCCACAAATTCCACCACAACACAACAAAACCCTAACTTCTCTATACCTAACTCTCTGCCCTCAACAAAATTTCACCTACTTCATACCCCACGCCCAGCAAAAACACACATTGCCCTATACATTCTCGTCCCCCCTCATACTCTCCACCCAATCCTGACACACACCAATTGCAAGTCCAACAACATCAAAGAAAATGCAACAAAATTTGAAAAACATTGTTGGAATTTACCACACCGTCGACAGTGATTAAATTGGCGTTAGAATTAGAATTGCTTCCTTCCTTCGCACGTACTGTCTTTGTTTTTCTGCCATCGTCACTCACCGCTACCATCACATGCTTCTTTCCTTCGAACCCTAGTCACACAAATCACTTATTTTCTTTAGTGTAATGTTGTGAAAGGAATTTATTTCCTTTTTTATTCTCTAGTGCATTATTGCTCTGCAATCCGTCCTTACAAAATCGCCGCCTTTCGGTTTCAAATTAAAGTTCCATTTGAGTTAGAAGTTTTCACATACGAGTAATTGAGGACATTGTAGTCTTTTTATGTGAAATTATACGCACATACATGCATTCGCAGTCATATAACCGTAAATGTGTTTTCTAGTCATACCATGGCAAACTACACATCTTTTAGTAATATTCAAATATTTTTCTCCGAAAAATACTCCTATTTTAGAATTTTTAGAAATTAGTTTCTATTTTTACGCTTTCTCAATATTTTACTTCTATTAGGAAATTATCTCTTAATTCTTTTATTTTTGGGAAAATGAAAATTAATAATCATACCGTTTAGCGGTCTTCTTACAATAATCTTACCTTATCGTTATTCATTAATAATCCAACCTTTGCACCCTATCTTCATTCGCTGGTCCCTAACCAGTTGATAACCTGCTATTCCAGATTTTTTTATTTTCTTTGCAAATTATTCAACCATAAATTCCACATTTCACAAATCTTCTTCAAGTGGTCCCACATATCATTTTTCTTTTCTTATTCATAAAACTATTCCTTATTTATTTTTTTCATCTTCACTATTTTATTTCCCGTTATGGTCTTCTTAATCTAATTTTTATTACTTTTCAATTTTTTTCAATGTTTATCTATTCCATTTTCCTTCTTTTTCTGATTCCCGTTTATTATTTCATTTTCATTTATACATATTTTTCGGATTAGTTTCCTTATAAAAGATATATTTCTCACCTTACTAACTTTTTACTTTATTTTCTTTTTACTTACATACACTTATTTATTTCCTTTTTTTCTTTTCTTACCTTTATTCTACCACTAATGTATTTAAGAAAATAGTCCCAAAATATGACTAAACTAATCCCTTTTTTTATTTCTGAAACCCGTGATTGACATGATCAATCTTATGGGGGGTCGTTTAACATCTGAATATAACCCCATGAATTCCAACTACAAATGGTTTAAACACCTGCGTGCCAAGGAGACAATGATACATCATGGGAAACCACATTCGAATAGAAACAACAGGCAGCAAGCCGCCAAAGCAAAATAAACTGCATCACTGATCAAGGCTGAATGCCAACTATAGCAGTTAAGTACGGTTTAGGGAAATCCTTGACATCGAAAGTTTGTTCCGTCATCATCTTCAAGATATCGTCCTTCTTGAGGATGGTCCGTTTGAAAGGAGGGCGATTGCGGCGCTGGTCGCGAGAGAAGTATTTGATGTCGTACACGGTTTCGGGATTAGAGGAAGACTAAACTAATCCCTAAATGCACAAATAGAACTATGTTATTTATCTTCCCAAAATAGGATTAAAGTAATGTCTATCTTCTTATTCTACATTTCTACCCATTAAAGTAACTTAATAGGATAATCACATTTTACATTATACTAAAAAAAAAAAATAACAAAAGTTATTTCAATTTATAAAAATATAGTAACAAAATCATAAAAAAAATAAAGTTAAAGAAATGTTTTAAAAATAATAAATAATAAATAGTGATAAAAATTAATTTAAAAAAAAAACTTCAAAAATAAATTAAACCAGATAAAACACATTAAATTTTTAACTTTCTTTTTATTTTGTTACTATATTTTTATGAATTTAAATACCCTTTTTTATTATAATGTAAAATATGATTATCCTATTTGTTGAGGTTTATTCTTTCAACCCTTGGGTCCAACACATAAGCCCAAGGATCTCGAGTGGATGATTTAAGTGTGAGTGATTAACTGACCCAACAAGCAAGATGGATTAAGGAGAATAAAGAAGAAGTAAAGGACCGGATATTATTAATGATAAATAACGCCCCGATACAATACTTTTACTAAGGCCGTAGGCCGTTCGTCTTATCCTGTAGTAGAATAGCTGCGAGTAATAAGGTAATAACTAATAAGCTAGAGTGCTAAGAATAGTAAGTTGTCAACCCTTTACAATGAAATGAATGCTGCTATTTATACCACCAATGAGTAGTTGGCTATACTGACGTGGAGGACTGTGTATGGCTGGTGTCTCAACCACCAAATCTCCAGCATTAAATGCGTTTCCCGTTAGAATCTGGGTTTCCCGCCTAACTAGTGGAAACGGACGTCCAGCTGGGCCGGGGGCCTGCTCCTGATGATACTGCAAAGGGTCATGGGCCGTTCGTATTCTGTCCCTTAGAGGATTTGTCACACAGATTGGATTGGCATTAAGTGGTCGTGGCTTTAGGTGGCGACGTTCGTCGCCACTGCGTTGTCCGCGGGCTTGACCCACCATTATCCCGCTTGGACGTTCGTCGGGGTGGGCTGCCTTGTTGGGTTGGACGTTCGTCCGAATGAGGGGGTGTGGGACGACCCTTTATTTGGGCCATTAACCCAACACTATTAAGCTATGGTAAGGATATAAATGTAGAATAAGAAGCTAAACGATACTGTATTCCTATTTTAGGAAGATAAATAAAATAGTCCTATTTTTGCATTTAGGGATTAGTTTAATCCTATTTTGGGGTTATTTTCTCAAAAATATATTTGTGGTAAAATAAAGGTAAGAAAAGGAAAAATGAAATAAATAAATGTAAGTAAAAAGAAAATAAAGTGAAAAACTTTGTACGGTGAAAAAAGATCTTTTATAAGAAAACTAATCCAAAAAAATATGAAAATGAAATAATAAACGGGAAGAAGAAAAAGAATGAAAAATGGAATACATAAACATTGAAAAAAAACAAAAAAAAAAAACTTGAAAAGTAATAAAAATAAGAATAAGAAGACCAAAAAGGGGAATAAAAGAGTCAAGACGATAAAAAAGGGAAAAGTTTTAGGAAAAAAATGATACGTGGGACAGCTTGAAGAAGATTTGTGAAATGTGAGATTTATAGTTGAATAGTTTGTAAAGAAAATTAAAAAATCTGGAATAGCAGGTCATCAAGCAGTCAGAGACCAGCGATTGAAAATGAGGTGCAAAAGTTGCATTATTAATGAATAACGATAAAGTGGACCTGGTGTAAGAAAACTACTAAAAGGTTGAATTATTCATTTCCATTTTTCTTTTATTTTTTTTTCTCTTGATTTTTGTTTGGTTACCCATTGCCATGCGCCCATGCAAGTCATTTAAGCAGGAAAATGTGTATAATCAACCATTATAATATCTTTGTGTGCCCCCGTTCAAACCTCCCTTCCAAATCAATAAAAAAAACAATTTGCACAAAATAAGACTAATAAAAACGATATGATCACCTCATCCGTTGTATTCATCTCACACCTCTTGGCGATTCTCGTTCTCTTGGCAGCCTCTGGCTCGGCCGGCGTTAGCTTTTCGCCTGAACAATCAGCAACCCCGCCATCCGTCACCGTTGCGGCCTGCGCCGCCTCACACGATCCTCCCTCATGCGAACATGCGTTGACTAACTCCGGACTCTTGATAACGGAGAACGCAAGCAGCCTCCATGTCATTCACGCCGTCTTAAACATCACTTTCCGGCATCTAGACACCGCCGAATCCATGGTGGGCGCCATCCTCTCCGGCTCTTCGTCGAATAGCAACCTCACGACGGCGGCTAGGATTTGCGCTGAGGTGCTCAGGTTGTCCAGGTACCGGCTCGCGTTGACGGATCACGGCGGGTTACGCGGCCGTAAAATAAAGGACGGCCGTGCATGGCTGAGCGCCGCCCTGGGATACCAGTACGACAGCTGGTCCGCCTTGAAAAAAGTCAACGACACGGCGACTGTGGTCAATACCATGGCATTGATCAACGACACCATAATGGGGTTGACCAGGACCGCCCTAAGCATGCTGGGGAATTACGACGTGCATGGGGACGACGTGGCATCGTGGGGCCCTATCAAGACAGAGAGGGACGGGTACTGGGACCCAGTGGATGGATCGGGGTCTGATTTTGACTTTCAAAACGGCAGAGTTCCTAAGCACCTGAAGCCGAATGTGACCGTTTGTAAGACCGGCCACGGCGGCGGATGCGATTATGCGACGGTTCAGGCGGCAGTTTACGCCGCGCCGGATATGAACGCCGGGCAGCGCTTTGTGATATGGATCAAGGCCGGAATTTACAAGGAGAAGGTAAGGGTATCGATGAAAAAGCTGAACGTCGTCTTCTTAGGCGACGGCATGGGCAAAACCGTCATTACAGGGTCCCTCAATGTTGGTCAACCCGGAATGACGACCTACCAGACCGCCACCGTCGGTGTTCTTGGAGACGGATTCATGGCCAGCAATATCACGTTTGAGAACACCGGAGTTGGCTCTCAGGCGGTGGCTTTCCGGTCCGACGGCGATCGGACAGTGGTGGAAACCTGCGAATTGAGGGGAAACCAAGACACCCTGTACGCCAAATCCATGCGGCAATACTATAAATCATGTCGCATCCAAGGAAACATTGATTTCATATTCGGTAACTCGGCGGCATTTTTCCAGGACTGCGACATTTTAATCGCTCCGAGACCAAGTGAGCCGGAGAAGGGAGGGATAAACACCATCACGGCCCACGGAAGGATTGACCCAGCCCAGACCTCAGGTTATTGAATTAATTCGATCATTATCAAAACGAAGAGAAAATTCCAAAATTAGAAGGGAAAATGAGTGTAGTATAATAGTTGGATCTATTTAATGAATAAAAACATGATCAAAAGTCCTACTTGTACCTTGAAATTCACAAACATTTTCTGTCATACTGTATTATGGACAATTTGTGGTAACATTTTTCGAAAAGATCAATCTTATACTCCGTAGAAAAAATTATTGAGTATCTTAATATATCACTTTACTACTTCATTCACAAACATTTTCTCTCATGCTGTATTTTGAACAATTTGTGGTAACATTTTTCGAAAAGATCAATCTTAGAGAAAACATTATTGAGTATCTTAATTTATCACTTTACTACTTCATATTTTATTGGTGTAATACTTCAATAATTTGTAATGGCTGAAGTATTACTCAAATTAGATCCATATTAAAGTAAAAATCTCGGATACTCTCTCTGTATTTAAAAATTTGCGACACTTTCTAATTGAGATGTATTTAAAACTTTGCTACTCTGTACATTTTTCCGTTTTGGTAAGTTTTTTTTTTCCTTTAAAAATATCCAATACCCTTACTTTTCTACTTTTTATTTTCTTTTCCCTACTTTTTCACATTCTCTAGTACATTTTCCACACTATTATTCATTAACTCCACTATTTCTCCTTTAAATGTTCCGAGACACAATGTAGTAATCTTTTAAATAGGGAGGGAGTATAATGCACCCTTTGTACTTTCAATTATTTTGTTTACGTATAATTTGAAACAGGTTTCGTCTTCCACAATTGCTCCATTAGTGGCACCGATGATTACATGAAGCTGTACCGTAAAAACAGCAAGGTGCAGCAGAGCTACCTGGGACGGCCATGGAAGGAATACTCGAGGACAGTGTTCATAGGGAGTTACTTGGACGATATAATTTCAGAGGAAGGATGGTATCCATGGGATGGAGATTTTGCCATAAAAACTCTATACTATGGGGAATTTGATAATAGAGGGGCGGGGGCTAGCACATTTGGCCGTGTAAATTGGAGTAGCATTGTTCCTACCCAACATGTTCATTCATATTCAGTTCGTAATTTTATTCAAGGTGATCTATGGACTTAATCCTAATTTAATCACATATCTTCTGTACATAATTGATTGATGTTTCCCAATTTAATTAGCTTGTTGATAAATTATTGACATTACTCGTATACAAAGTAACATTTCAATATTTACTGTAATCTTGGAATCATTACTGTCAAATAGTTGCATTACAAGATATTAAGATAACCATTTTTATTACCATAATGACAGTATTTTAACTATTTTTCAAGAAACATTAGTCAAATATCAAAAGCAGACAAAAAGAAAGAAATGAACTAAATATGACATTGACATAAAACTCACAGAACTAAATATAGTAACAATTTTTTTGTTAACAGCTTTTTGCTATATATTACTTCTGTCGGACTAATATTGTGATAAGAGGAGGTGATGTTGTTATTAAGAATATTATCTTTATGTGGTTGACATTGAATTGGTAAAATATAAGAATAAAGTTAGAATGATTTAAAACCACAAAATTTTTATTAAATTTGATATGAGTTAATTTTAATTGGACAAAGCGAAAAAGAAATGTGAGACAATTTTAACGAAGTATAAAGTACTACATATTAGAGTACGGAGTATTATTTATTAAACCAATTCAACTTACTTTCCATATTCTCAAGCTGCTGAAATCATCACACCTTTATCACGTCTAATGTAAAAGAAATAGACGTAGATAGGAGTAAAGCTATAAAGTTTGTGAATTTCAAAATATGATTATTGTGTATTTTTATTCAATAAATAAAAGTAAATATTGTCTCACTTTAGCATTATCAAACTTAAATAAAAGTAAATATTGTCACACTTTAGCATTATCAAACTTTATGCTTGACAATATTTTTAAAGCTTGCAAGTAATTATTTGTATTTATGGAATAAAAACATATACCATCTATTTTGCAATTTCAATTTTTCTACTCGTGAAGTTGAAAATACATACAAAAGTTTACTCATATAAGGTTCGAGTAAACTTTGTCTATGAAATTATTTTCTATGGCTTAATCCGTCATAGATTACGCGTCGTAAGTCTTTGTTTCCCCTTTAATCATCAAAACTAAGAAAATATTCAAAATTTCCCATCATATGCATTGAAAAATGTATAAAGCAGAAGTGGAATACAACATTTGACTCTTTGATAGGGATAATCTACAGCACAAATTACGCCAAAGTTTGACATCATATACAACATTTTTTTTATTATTATCGGAAAATGTACTATCTCCATTTTTAAATACTCCATATGTGCAATTTGTTTTTTGGAAAATATGTCCAATTTGTTAAATTTTACGCTATTCAAACTCTGTTTTTTATTTTTATTTTGTATTAATAAAAATGAAATATATCAATGACAATGATAAAAAATGTACATTGTTTTAGGGGTAAGTATGTTCTTAAGCACGGAAACATTCGTCCCGCCGTACGTAATTGAGTCCGAACATTTGAAACTGGACCACAAATCAAGCCAGTTGTGCCCCTCGCAAAGGCTTTCTTTATAAGCTGACTAAACTCCCCCATCATCTTACCCGCAAGTAATTAAAACTCTAATACTGGCAATGGGCTTAATTATCCATACATTTACTGCCCCTAATTGCCTTCCTCTTTGTCTCCGCCTTTGCTCACAGCCCTTACTTGCCACAAGAACATTATTCCCTTATTCCTCCCATCATTGTTTCCACCTGCAAGGCGTCACGTGATCCAACAACATGCCAACATGTGATCAACCAATCGGGTCACGTGTCGCCGGGATCAACTGCCCGCCAAGTCATCCTGTCGGTGCTCCACCTCACCCTCCATAATCTCCACACTGCTAAAGCGCAGCTAAAGAACATTAAGCACGGGTCAAACATGACCCGTGCCATAGCTGCAAATAATTCTCTCGAGCCAATAGACTACTCGAGGTACCGGGTCGGCATGACAGTAAGACACGGCCTCTCAGCCAGCAGTTCTAAGCTGAAGGACAGCCGTGCATGGCTGAGCGCCGCCCTGTCGTCCCAGTATGACGGATTGGGCGGCTTGAGAAAAGTCAACGACTCGAAAGATGCGATTGACGCTATGGCGTTTATGAATAACACCTTGATCGCGACGACCAGCACCGCACTGAGCATGCTTGCGAATTACGATTTCCATGGCGAAAAAACAAGGTTGTGGGGCCCAATATATACGGAACGCGACGGGTTTTGGGAGCCGGCCGACAAGAAGAAGTGGTCGGATTTCAAAGACGGTGGCGGGCGCAAGATCCTAGCTTATAACGTGACGGTGTGCAAAACCGGTGGATGCGACTACCGGAGGGTTCAGGAGGCGGTGGATGCGGCGCCGGAGTCTAAGCCGGCCGAGAGATTCGTGATCTGGATCAAAGCCGGAGTTTACAAAGAGACTGTCCGGGTGTCGCTGTACAAGTACAACGTTGTTTTGGTCGGAGACGGGATGGGCAAAACGGTAATTACGGGATGTTTGAATGCCGGTCAGCCCGGAATGGGAATCTTTCACACTGCCACCGTTGGTGTGCTCGGAGACGGGTTCACGGCGACCAATATCACATTTGAGAACACCGCCGTCGGGTATCAGGCGGTAGCTTTCCGATCCGACGCTGACCGGACCGTCATGGAACACTGCGAATTCCGGGGAAACCAGGACACCCTTTACGCCAAATCCCTCCGTCAATACTACAAATCCTGCCACATACGTGGCAACGTTGACTTCATATTCGGCAACGCCGCCGCATTCTTCCAGGACTGCAAGATCCTGATTGCTCCGAGGCCGACCCAGCCGGAGGCAGGGGAGGATAACACGATCACGGCCCAGGGCAGGCTGGAACCAGGCCAGTCAACGGGGTTCGTCTTCCACAAATGCTCCATCAACGGGACAAAGAAATACATGAAGCTGTACCTGAAAAACAGAGACGTGCACAATAATTTCCTGGGGCGGCCATGGAAGGAGCACTCAAGGACTGTGTTCATAAGGTGTAACTATGGGGGCTTGATTTCGAAGAAGGGATGGATGGTGTGGGATGGAGAGTTCGCATTGAAAACGTTATATTACGGGGAATTGGAGAACAGGGGGATTGGGGCATCTGACCGTGTGGAGTGGAGTAACATCGTGCCGACTAAACATGTCAACTCATATTCGGTTCATAATTTTATTCAAGGCCATCAATGGATCCATTCTGCCTAGCTATAATTTATTTATATTCGGATCATTTCATCAAATTATAGGCGCAACATTATTAACAGATTGCTTGTCACCAGTTCACCACATGTACTTTCATCTACCTTTTCGAGTAGACTGCATGTCATGTATCAAATGTTCTATGTTTTTTTTAATTCCAAATTTCAAAGGTACACACTTTTTTTTTGTGTACACATTTTTATATTGTGTAGGTTTTTTTATACGAACAATAGCTAATTGCTCACAACTGCGGTCGGTACCTTTGAAAAACTTGTAGTTATAGTACCTTTGACTCAAAGGTACCGTAACTGTGGCTTTGACAGATGGACCATTAAATTGTTGCCGCATGTTCTCTATTTATTTATAGATAAGATTTGTCGTACATGGAGTTTAAATTTCTCTTAATTTCCTAATAGACCCATAGCATACTGATTTAACGTCAAACCTCCGTTAGGCTTATCTCAGTCGACATTAAGTTGCGATTAGGGCTCCCCAATCAGAAAGGATGGGGTTTGCATTTGGAAATTCCAATTGTGATCCAGGTAGGCTTGGGACCGGTTCGATTCCTAGGCAAAATATATGGAACCGTTTGAAAATATGAAATTTTAGTAACGATTCGGTTCTTATAAATTATTATATAGAATCGATAAGGAAGCGAACCATTCTTAAAAGTTCGGTTCTTGTCATTTAACGGTTTCTAGTTTTAAAAAAATCTTATAAATCACGGTTAAATTTGTGCCAAATATACATTCAACATTTGAAATTACCATTCAAATATATTGACCATCATTTTAAACCTCAATAGTTGAATTTAAAGCAAAATACATAACCTGAGAAGTTCATTACGGTCGACAACTTAATTAAACAAAACACACAACAATCAACAACTTAATTAACTGACAGGAAAGGCCATCCAAAAAACCCACAAGCAGAGCCCTCAGTTCCAAGCAGTTGAACCTGAAAAGTGAATAGTAAATTAGAAAGACATAAAAATGCCAACAAAGCACACAATATGTTGCAATTCATCTCACATAAGGCTACCGTATAAAAAAACTAATCGGTTCACTTACGGTAAACTCCATTAGTTAAATTAACTTCTGGAGACATTTCCCAGTTCAGACTCTTTCCTTGCGCTTACTTCTCTTTGGTTTTTCATCTTTTCCCTTTCTTCTTTCTCAAATTCTTCATTAACCAATGAATAAATAAATGAAACTTGAATCTTGAGTTATGCAAATACCGAATCATATAAATAAAATACATAATGAAACTTGAATCATATTGAATTGCAAATTCAAAACACTACAATAGCTCATGGGTGAGGTACCTTGTTCAGTTGTCTCAAACCACTCCATTTCCTCTGGACTTGGGGAATACACTAGATTCATAATTGAATTTGACTTCAGCCAATTCTGTAGACAAATCAATGCCTAAACTAATCTAGGAGTTAAAGAACTCCTATGAAGATCAATGATTCTCTTTCCTGTGTTAAAACTAGACTCAGAAGCAACTGTACGAACTTGAATTGCCAAAATATCTGTAGCCATAACTTGTAGGGGTGGGTGCTTTGTTCCATTTAGTCTCCACCATGTCAAGATATGAAATTCGTCACTACATTTTTCCATAGGATCGAGAAGGTACCTGTCTACTTCATGAGCTACAATTATAGAACTCTCTTCTTCAAGATCCTTTTCCCAATCATCAAACATCATCGCATTTTTTCCATTTTTTTTTGTATTCCTACAAATAAGTTAATTAGTAAAGAGTTAAGTAAACTGATTATATTCACAAAATAGATGAATAACTACTTACATTTATAAAAGTTTCACATTCATAGACATAAAATTATAAAACAAGTTAATTTATACCCGCGGATGCCATTAGCGCTAGCCAAATCAGCTTTTGTTGTGTTGGAACCTTGACTGCGTGTTCACCAAACAAATCAATAAGTGAGACAATTA